ATAAATATACTTCAGGCTGGATATGATGGTCCGTGGTTTGGTCTAGTCTGAGATGAACCCAAAATCAGGCCAAACTGGGTTCGATCCACCAGATCATCAGACCAGTCTAGGTAGTCCTAAATCACACAGCTGCTATAGAAAAGAAACAGGCAAAAATTAGGAATAGCAAGTCATCAGCAACATGAGAAGAGATCGAGGGGAGAGTCCAGAGAGAGAGAAAGGATCCAAATGACAATCTTGAGCTTATCAGTTCCCACACAACCGAGAATCAAAGGAAAAGAGGAACCACACTCAATAGCGATGGAGAAGAGACAAGAAAACAACAATGGAGAAGAGGGAAAAAAAGAGCGATGTGTCTCCTCTTTACTCTTACTAAAGCATTTGTATGAAAAAAGTTATTTTTAAATACATTTCTCTTACATTCATAGGCTTTTTCAATGTTCAAGGTAAACATTCAACGAAAGAAAAAAAAATTCTCTCTCTTCTTTTTGGTTTTTATTCACATAACCAATTAAAAACACACGCTTTCTTTGTAATGATAATAAAAGGCGAAAACAATGAAGACCAGTGGATGACGACGTTGATGACATTTCATAGGCTTCTGGTTTTCGTTTGTGGATTCATCAAATGCTTTGAGAGGACTCAGGCCTTGTACTTTGCCAACAACATTGACCCAGATGATGAACTGATGCACCCATCTTTCCAGCTGGATGGTATTGATAAAAACCCACCACAAGGATGATACGTTCTTCTTGAACTGGAGCTTATGCTTAAATCTGCTTGTGAATGGCATTACACTAATGACAGATGATTTTAGAAAATAGCTAAAAAATGACCCCACGCAACATACTTGTAAAGGAGTGTTTGGTTTATCCAAAAAGCAAATAAAAATATACTACCTCCTGTCCTATTTATAAGATCTTGTTTGTAATCTACATACGAGGTCTTATAAATAGGACCGGAGATAATATAAGCAAGGAACAAAAAACCGAACTAGACACTAAACCGGTCAAGATAGTAGGTTAAGGGTTAATAGGTCAAATCGGAGTTAGACCGGGTTAAACCGGTAATAATTAAAATAATATGATTTAATTACAAAATATTTATGTATATAATTTTTATTCTTATTCTTATTTCTTTTTTCTTTTTTTCCTATCTTTTTTCTGATTTCCTCATAGCCTAGTACAATCCCCTCTTTTTTATTATTTTATAGTTTACACTTTTATCTCTTCCTTCTCTCTCTCACGTGAATGTCCATCAGATCATCACAATGTCCATCACAAGGTCACCTTTTTGGCTTTTTCTTCCTCTCTCCTCTTGAGCGCCGAATACTTCTTGAAGTTGAAGCATCTTGGTTCTTCCCCTTTTCATTCAAATCGTGAGAGTCGTTCCTCCCTCTTCATTTTTCTCTCTTTCTCAGATAGAGAAGATAAACAGTGACATTTTTTTCTTTCTCTGCACATCCATTCGACTCTGCTATTTATCCTCCTCCTTGCCCTCCACTCTTCCACGAGCACAGGTTTGAGACGGCACACAAGAGCTTCCAAATGGATTTTTCTTTTCATGATTTTTTCTGCTTCTACCACTTCTCTCAATCATGTTCATGTCTTTTCTAGCAAACGGTGAGACGGTAAGAGTAAAGAAGAAGAAGGAGAGGAAAAGAAAACCGGTAACCCATCCAGACGAACGGTTTTGTCGGTTTTTACCTGTTTTTTACGATTCATTTCGGTTTGATTCGAAACTGGTTCATTGTTCAAACCAGACCGAATTAGGAGCCAGTTCACCCGGTCCGGTTCGGTTTTTTCTTCATTGAATATAAGTTAAGATAAAACTCTTTTTACATACTTACTTTTTATACTATAAAATTATTTCTAAAACCATAATTTGATTCCATGCAAAAAGCCTTCTTACTTTATACTACTTTTGTAGTTCTATTTACAAGGCACCGGAAGAATTTTTTTGGGTCTTATTTATAAGTCACTTTATTAAATTTTTAGTATGAATGTATTATTTTGTCCTTCATTTATTATAATATAAATAATTATTTTTAAAAATTATATATATTAAATAAGGATAAATTTAAAATTTTAATATATTTTAAAAAGATTAATATATATTAAAATTTTTTTAGTCTATGTAAAATATGATAGAAATACTTTATAAATACGGTCACTGGAGTAATGGTCAAATAAAACGATCATACTAGGAGGCCCAGAGCTGGTCGGTTGACGGTGGGGAAGCGAGATCCCGTAATTCCAAGTCCATCTCCGTTCAATGCCTTAATTTATTTATAACCCTGCATATCAAATGCCTCGGAAGATTCAGCTAAAAAAAAAAAAAAACACGTCCGGGTTTTGATTTACTTCCTTCGGGTTTTTTATAAGATCCTTTTAAGAGCATTTTAAAAAAAATGATTAAAATTATTTAAAAACAAGTAAAATTTATTTATTTTTTTAAATATGCCCTTACTCCCTTTAGTTTAAAATATAAGATAATTTTTGTTGGATGGGCTTGGTTTTTTTATAAGATAATATTTACTTTTGTCCAAATATTTAATGAGTTTTTTTTTTCAATTTTAACCCTATATATTTTCTTTCATTTTTTATTTATTTATTGCATTTTTACTTATTTTTTTATTAATAACTGTATATTTAAAAAATTAAATATATGCCTTGCATATTTATTATTTTAAGCTGATTTTAACTAATTTCTTGATAAACATAAATAGATAAAGCTTATCTTATATTTTGAACTGAAAGGAATATTTAATAAGAGGGTAAATAAGAAAAAAAATACTAGTAATGAGATAAATGTTGAAAGAGGATGTAGTATAAGAAAAAAGATAGTGAGACAAAATAGAAAATTAGTTAACCAAAAATATTTGTAAAAACACATCTAATGTTCATATATTTTTAAATATAATCTTATAAAAAGACTAAATCAATTCAAATTTAAGATTTTATAAAAAGAACCAGAGTGAGCATTATATTGTTTATACTCTTGCTGCTTTCAAAAAAACATTAAATCTGTTATAAAATTCAAGCCATTTCTAAACTAAATTTCAACATGATACCAAGTTTTACTTCCTCTTTCATTACTCTTATTGAATATGGCATATGAAAAAGAATATTCAATACTAAAGAATATTTAATATTCTTTAAAGCTAGTAAATGTCATATGAAAATTACCAAAACCTTCTAACTAGAAGGAATCCCATAATAAGGACCCGAGGAAATATAGCTTTCACATTTCCTTACTTCCCCTCATTCATATAAACCCGAAGACACGTACCCTCTCTCTCCAATTACTTGTTCATTTTCTTTCTTCTTCGTCTTCATCTTCTTTTCTTTTGGTTACATTCTCATGTTTCTGGATCTGATACATATTTGAATCATGCAGATATCGAAAAGAGATATGGAGAACGAATTTAGCAATGCTTTTCCTTAATCATGTGCTATGAAAGGAGGGGAAAAGATCCTCACAGCTATGCTCAAAACTCAACCTTCCAGGCATTTAATTAATCTTTAGTCTTATCTCTTACTTTCATTTGGAGGTGTTTGGGTTATGTCAAAATCATTTTTCCGCAAATCAAAGCAAACTCCTCCATATATTTATTTCGTATATTGTAAAAGTAGTTTCAAAACTATGATTTTATTTCTACCCAAACACTCTTTTGTCTCCTGAAATCTTTACTTTTAATTTTGATTCGATGAATAATCTTCTTGACTTAAAAGTTCAATTTTGTCCTCAAAATTTTGCTTAGGAGTTATGAGTGTCTAGAAGTCTTTTTTAAAATCAATGTTATTGCAGAAGTTTTCAAATCGTATTAATGTCACCCACGGTCATCCCAATGTTAATTTTGACTGTTAAAAGACACATGGCACTCTGAGATGGCACTCAATATGCCAGGTCATTGCCCACTTCTCACCACAAGGACTTAATATGACATGTGGCCGGGAGGGAAAAAAAAAAAAACATTCCACCCACTCCCACTCTCGGCATTGCCGCTCTCCTCCTCTCCATTGGAGTTTCGTCTTCTTCTTCCTCAAAGGTCGGTCACCATCCCTCTAAACCCACTTAAATGGTCACCAACCCCCCTCCATATTTTCCATCATCAACGCCGCCGTTGCTGAGACCATCTTCTACTGCTGGAGGTGTCGACCTCTTTTCCATCCTGCCCCGGAGCCCATCGTTCCTATTCACTCTTATTCTTAAGTTTATTCAGATCCAGATCTAGATCGAGCAGCTTCGAAGAAAATTTGAGGATTTTTTCTTAGGAATTATGCGACCTGTTTGTAAGATCCACGCTCATGCGACCTTCGACGACCGCTTGCTGCCTTTTGACAATTTTCGGTCACTTGTTCGCCATGGCCGGACTCGTCAGCCTGTTTCCCAGGCGATTCCTTCTCCACATCTTAACTCTTTTGTTTATTTTCTTGTCTTTCTTTGAGACGTTCTTCATTCATGATTTTGATAACCGTTGTGCCCCTTCTCCAATGCTGAATGTTGAATTTAGCATTTTATTATTTCGGTTCTAGAATTAATTCTCCCAGTCAATTCCTTCTCCATATCTTAACAATTGGACTTTAGCATTTTATTATCTTGGTTCTAGAATTAAAACCATGAATAATGCAGTAACAAAAACCACTCTTTCATAGAAAAAGAGATTCCCGTGAACTCATACATTCACATTTGAAGATGCTCAAAATGATAACTCGGCATATCAAAATATATTTTCTTCGAATCATTGGGAACCAAAGATTATATCACTGAAAAAATATGGATCCTGTTTGAGTTGGAAGTGGAAGAAAATAGATGTCTGATATGTCAACTTTTCATTTGAGGGGGGAAAAAAACAGAGAGGGGGAGTATCGAGGGAGGCGGTGAGGAGGATGGTGGTGGAGGCGAGGAAAGGTGATCAGAGAAGGAGAAGGCTTTGGGGACTGGAAGAGGAAGGGTGAAGGAGGTTGTCTTTGAAGAAGAAGAAAACGGCAGTGATGATGGCGACGAAGAGAGACAGGGAGGAAGCGATTCAGGTGCTGATATGGCTAAAATGATGTTGATATGGCTGTGCTGACTGTGCCATATAAGTTAGATTAACAGTCAAAATTAACTTTTCTAACGGGTGAGGTGTGATTGCTACGTTTTTTATATTTCTGGGGTGACATTACTACTAAGAAAACTTTCAAATACTCGTAGCTCTTAAGCAAAGACATTCAAGGCAAAATTGAACCTTATCCCGAGATTTAATTATAGATTAAGATGTAAATTTATTCTGAAAGTTTTCATTTAGGACTCATGTTGTCTCAAAAATTTATTGGGATTCAATATCATCATGAAAGTTTTGAAACATAATAATGTTGCTCCACATTATTAAAAAATTAATACTGACTGTTAAAATATTGATATTGACCGTTAATATTTTTAACGGTAACAAACAACTTTATTTCATTTTAACACTTGCGTGACAACTTTGAACCCAACAAAACTTCTGGGACAACATTGCTAGAAGCTTCTTGGCAAATTTGCTTTTTAACCCATTTAACTAATAAACCACATGATATCTGCAGAGATCAGCAATTGAAGCAGCCAAAAAGCTTCTCCAAAGTGCAGTAACTGATAACTTTGACTTGAAAACAACTTGTGTTTGTTCTGCAAACCCAATTCGCATAGCAGGCCTTGGCTGTTCCACCGGAACAAACACCTTCATTGCAACACAAAACATAATAGAAGCAGTACAACTCAAATACCAATCTCAATCTCAAAATCAAAGCACCCCAGAGTTCTTTGTTTTCTTCAATGATCAAGCGTCCAATGATTTCAACACTCTCTTTCAGAAACTTCCTCCCAATCGAAACTACTTTGTAGCTGGAGTTCCTGGCTCTTTCTATGGACGTTTATTTCCAAGTCAAAGCCTGCATTTAGTGCACTCATCTTCATCATTGTCCTGGATATCTAAGATGCCAAAAGAGCTTACCGATAGAAACTGTGGTGCTTGGAAAAAGGGAAGGATTTTCCATACTAATGCTCCAGAAGAAGTTGAAGATGCTTATAAGTGACAGTTTAAGATGGATTTGGAGACCTTTTTACAAGTTAGAGAACAAGAACTTGTGGGCAATGGGATAATGATACTTCTGATACCTGCTGCTCATGATGTGATTGATTTTAGTGTGGACTTGTATGGTGGAAAAGATTATGAAGTTTTGGGAAGCTGTCTAATGGACATGGCGAAACTGGTGAGCAGTTTGTTTGTTTGTTTTTTTTGTTAACTAATTTTTTTAATATCTATAAATTAATTATTTAGTTCCTAAGCTTAGAATCAAAGTGAGTATTAGCAAATTACTGATGATAAGAATTTGATAGAATCAAGCATGACTAGGAAAATTAAGATTGAGAGAATTGTTGAATATCCCTCATTGCAAAGTTTATTATCCTAAGTATATGAAATGATTTTAAGGACTAAGGTGCAACATATGTTTAGTAAGTGCAATTTGTTTTATTTTTAATTATGTGCAATCTATCCTTAACTATGTGCAAAAATTAAGACTTATGTGTATTTTTGGACAATAAATTTTGCACGGAAAGACTTTTCAGCAGTTTTCCCGTTAAGAATTTGCTAATAGTTTTTTTACCCCTTCGTGATTGTAGGGACTTATAAGTGAAGAAAAAGTGGACACTTTTAATGTGCCCACATATTTTCCACGGCTGAAGGATCTGAAGAAAATGCTTGAGAGTAATGAAGATTTGAGTGTGGAGAAAATGGATCCATTAGATGGCAATAACTTGGTAATTGAGCCGAACTTAGGCAGACATGTCTCTCAATGCCGAGCTGCTTTCGAAGTGCTAATTGGGAAGCACTTTGGTGATGGAATTGTTGATGAATTTTTTGATCGCTTTGCTCAGAAACTTATGAAATCCCCACAACTCATGATGTATCCCCAGAAGCTCAAACTTGTCATGCTTTTTGTTGTTCTCAAGCGCAAGATGTGAGCATAGATATGGATGATTAGGATATTAGTTATTCTCTCATGACGATGATGAACTTAATTATGATGATAATGCAATGCTGCTTTTATTCGCTTGTTGAACTTAATAATTATCATGAACGGTAGTGAAAGTAACATATATTGATATAGTGTTTTAAAAGTTTGTTACTACCCCTGGTTCTTAATATAAGAGGTAGTTGACTAATTTGAGTAGATTAAGAAAATTAGTTAAGTTAGTTATTTGTAATAAATAGGTATTATCTTTCCTAAAATATCCTTGCAAATCAAATTTATTGGCTAGAATTATTATTATTATATGAACTATCTTGAGAAAAAATTAATAAATATGAGAGACAAAATATATTGGAATTTTATATTTAGATTAAGAAAATTAGTTAAATTAGTTATTTGTAATAAATAAGTGTTATCTTTCCTAAAATATTCTTGCAAATCAAATTTATTGGCTATAATTACTATTATTATACGGACTACCTTAAGAAAAAATTAATAAATATGAGAGACAAAATAGATTAGGGTCTTATATTTAGGGCCAAAATAAAAGTTAAACAAGCTCTTATATTAAAGATCGGGGGTAGTATATGATTTTGTGGTAATGTACTCTTTTTACATTAATTATGAAGTGATTTATATTATGTTTGTGTCCATCTTATTATTGTTATTAGTTGAGCTGAAAGGAATATCTGGTCTTTAATTATTAAGAAATTTTATGATATTTAAATATTTCCACATGCATATATCAGTAACAAATATATTATTTAATATTAATTTATTTATTAAAATGTAAATTATTTTATTTTAATGTATATTTATGTTATAATTTTAGTAAATATTTTTCTTAGGAAAATAAATATTAAATGGAAATATTTTCATTGTCTTTATGTTTTATATTATATTATAATTTATATCCATATAATATTTAATTTATTATATTTTTAAAAATATTTTCCTATTATGTTATTTGTTAAAATTTATTATAAGATTAGGATGCTAAAAGTAGCAGAAAAATAATATCAAGATGCTAGATGCACTCTAGATAAAATTAAAGTGCTGGATGAGCTTAGAAAATAGGAAAAAATGGTTTTAAAAAAAATCCCTATTTGACAAATTAATTTCAGAATAGAATCTGCAATAAATGTAAAGTGTAGGCTCTACAAGTCTTAATAAATATGATAGCAAAAAGACTATTAATTGCATGTGGGGATTTTTAACCAATTTTCCTTAGAAAATAACATCATGAATTCATGATGTTTTTTTTTTTTGGGGCGCATCATAAATTCTGGATGATGGATGGATGCTGCTTTATCCACTTTTATGTTATTAGCGACGCAGCAGATTATTTTTCCATGAATAAGTATGCCGTAAAAGTTTCAAAATTTAAACTATGATGGCTGCAATTATCATAGTATATCACAACTTTCCCATTACTCTTATTAATTTAACTAAAACCAACCTCAATGTTCGGTTGGGTTCTCAGATCGCTGCTCTTAAGACCCAAGAGAATAATATTTAATGTCACTGATTATTATTCCTTTCATTTTTTTATAAGATTTAAATTTTTGAATAGATCTGGTAATTTTTATATAATATAGTTTGTGGTTCTCTCAATATTAAATACATTTTTATCAATTTTATCACTAATTTTTCATTTTCTGTTTTAATACATTTTTTCATCTTTTTTTTTAAATTATTTCTCGCTCTCACTTATTCTCTTATAACCAGGACATACTTAAAAAAAGATAAATTTGAATTTTATAAAGACATAATTTGATTATTTGTATTTTATAAAAAACAACTTGAAGGAGTGTTATTAAATAATCAAAGAATTGAAATTATCAAGGATGGATAATAAACGTAGGTGTATTAAATGATTAGGATTAAAAATGAATCCAACACTCTAGTCCTAGGAAGGGATTTTGATCCTTTTTATTTATCATTTGTACCTTTTTTTAATGGTTTATTTCTAATTTTGCCTCTATTAATTATAGTAAAGGTGAAGAGAGAAGAATGAGTGAGAAAAAATATACTAGTATTTAATGCTCTCGTTGGTGAGCGTAAAAGTAAAAGATTTTATCTATTTAATGCTCTTATTAGCATATAAGAAACTCTTACAAGTAACAAATAATAAGTATCAAATCGGTATTAAACATGTTACATGAAAGTTAAGAGTTGTATTAGATGTGTTTCCTCATCTATATACTCTCTCTTGTGCATACTCCATAATATAAAAAGTTGGTTAAATTTTTTCATAAATCGAGAATTGGTAGTTAAGTCATTAAATGTGTTCTAAAATGATAAAATTTCTTATTTTACACTTAATGAATGTGATTGGAAAGTAATAAAGTATATTTTTTTTAAAAAAATAGTTTTTATTATCTCTCATCTCTCTCCTATATTTAAAATACTCTGTTGTAATTAATGGGAGCAAAGTGAAAAAATATAATCAATTATCCTAACAATTTCTTATATTTTGGACCATAATTTCCTTCTATATTGTGAATCAGAGGAAGTATGGTTATGTTTCTAATCCACTTCAATCCTTTCTAACTCTACTCTATTTCACACATTCAAAATCAAAAATCTTTCCACTGGGTTATACCTAGTTCACGACTGCTGGATTAGAGCCCGAGCCCAATATAAATGGGCTACCATGTGAATAAGGACAAAGCATAGATCCAAATAGAGAGTTGCACCCGTATGTTTTATAATTCCAATTCTAATAACCACTTGTATTTGGGACATGAAATATATACGATTGAGAGAGCCAGTTTTGGACACAGAAGAATGACGCCCGCAAATCGTCTCTAATGGCTTTTCTCCTCTTTCATTTAAGACGGGTATTTGCTGTATAATCATGCAGTGTACATAAACTGATTTTACATTGTATGGGCATAACAGATTAATCATCAAATTTTAGGTACGCTCCAAAATCTTGTACTTTCAAAAGCAAGAAAATGAAGAGAATATAAATTAATAAGAGTGTGTTTGGATTAGCGATAATAAAACTTATATTTATTCCAATTGATTTTTGCAAACTTAAATTAGGGTAAAAGTCAGTTATTGTAATGTAATTTACATTTGGATTGACGATTATAAAAAGGTAATTTAAAAAGTTGAAACTTGTTTAGATAGATAATAAAAAAAGTAAGTTTAGATATAAAATAACTAAAAACGGTATAAGTTTTGTTAAATAATTATGTATATAATGTGATAATTCTAAGAAAAAATTAAATTAAAATTACAAAAATAGTCAATATAAAGGTCTCAATCCATTTTGTTTAGACTATTTATCCATTTTATTCCTGAATAATTTTTAGTGATTACACATATTAAGGAAGTTTCATTAATGGGTAGTTTCAATGCATGCGATTAACAATGATATTTTAGGCAAGACAACATCAATTTATTACCAATAACTAACTTAACTGATTTTTTTAATATCTTCAAATTAGATATTTAGTTCTTTTATGAAGGATAGATAATACTCCTCTAGTCCTATTTATAAGGCAAAGAGAGAAGATTTTTTTTGGTCCTATTTATAAGTTATTTCATTAAATTTTTAGCATAAATATACTATTTTGTCTTTAATTTATTATAGTGTAGAGAGTTATTTTTTTAAATATGTATATATTAAATAGGATAAAGTTATAAAGTTGTTATATTTTTTAATGAAGAGTTAATACAGTTTAAGGTTTTTCTTAATCTGTGTGAAACATGCTAGAAGTGCCTTATAAACAGGATCAGAGAAGCATCAAATTATTAAATTGGGAAAATCGCAATAAAGTCCTACCCAAGAGAATTAAATGCAAAAAAATCCCTTAAAATCATCAAATTGTTCTGAAATCCTAAGGAACCTCATTGCAAAATATTTTATTTGTTTAATTATTAAATTGCCCTTATTATTATTATTTTTTAATTTTGCATTGACAACTGCAAGAGCAGTCATTAACAACTTAAGGTGTAACAATTAACGACTATCGCAATAGGTATTGACAACACATTCTCTCAACGCATCATAAAAATATAATGCATGAGTTGTCAATAACTGCCGTAATAGTTGTTAATCCTTACACGTTAAATTGTTAACAATTGCACTTTCAATTGTCAATGTATACTTTAAGAAAGGATAAGGGCAATTTGGTAATTAATAAATGGAATATCTTGTAACGAGGTCCCTTATGACTTTAGAATAATTTGATGATTTTAAATGACATTTTTGTATTTAATTCTCTTAGGTGGGAATTGATTACAATTTCTCCCATTAAATTTGTTAGGAGTAATTTTGTCTTTTTCTCATGATCATCTTTTATCTCTCCACGATGCGTTGGTAAAAGCTCCTTGGATTTACCTCAGCGTTGGAATGGCATTTTACCTAAAGCTGATCCAAAAAAAAAAAGAAAGGCTGATCCCAACATGTGTTGAAGCCTCTACCTGCCAAGAAGAACGTGCGCCACATTTCCTGTTGAAAACGTGAATCCAAACACGAGATGATTACTAACTTTGGAAATTGAAATCACAAAAACGTTTGTGAAACAATCCCAACGAAAACATAGCAAGAAGTTCGAAATGCAAAAATATTTCGGGAAAGAGGAGATTTTCAAAGAGGGAAAAGCTTTTGTTGGGACTGTTTAACAAGGGACGAAGTTGAAAACAAAGATTAAGTGAAGGATCGAACGGTCCTTTGGCTTCAATAAAACCATAGTCATTGACCCCCATCCCCTCTCTCATCCGATGCAGAACAGAGTAAGGAAGAGAGAAACAGAGTGAGGCGAAGGAGAGGAAGAGAGCTCTACGCGCCACATGCAACACTGATCTTGGACTAAGGTCAGTCTCTTAAACCTTCTCCCATCTTCATCTTCTTCATCTGATCTGGTTAGTTAATTCAGTTGCCGAGGGAGATCAGAAAGCTGATCGATGATGATTCGTGTGTGAATCAGTTAGTGCATGTGGAAATTTTTTGCAGATTAAGAGTAGCGGAGAATAGAG